ATATATATATATATATATATATATATATATATATACACATACATATATATACATACATACATGCGCTCAAAATGTATGGAACGCCAGTAGTGCTACCGATTGATTGTCTGGGATATGTTCTTCTTTAGGCCATACCGGCCTGGCGTTCAAATTCATATATCGTAGGTCTACTCGTCAATGTATTTACCTTCTGCATAGAGCCTTTGCTCTAGCATCTTTAAACTGGTGTAATATTAATAGAAATAAGACAATTTTTGACTTCTTGTGGAGGGGCCCCATGAGCGTTTTTTTTAAACGGATACCGGCGCTTTAAAAGTTTTCATTATTATTATTATTATTATTAAATATACAGTATTGACAAATTTTATTCTGTTGATCAATAAGATCACTGGTCCGTGTTTCCATAGAGTACAACAGTTGTGTTGTCACAACACCAGGTGGTTCCATTTGTTGTCAACCAGACGTTGGTTATCATTCGTTACGCCTCAATGACTTCATAATCTTAATGGTTAGAATAGGCTTTCTGGAATACAGTAGTTTTAAAACCTAATAATATACCATCAAAACGTATTAAAAACACAAAAGCTCCCACTATATTAGTTATCGAACACACATTTAATCATAAATAAAATTTTACAAAGAAAAACTAAGGTACAGCATCTTAATTACTTCAGAAATCGGGATCAATGGTTTGTCAGTGGAGAAAATGGCATCCAGTTTAACTCATTTTGTGTCGCCATTAGAGTAGTATCACGTGGTATCGTGATATAACACTGTAGTACTCTATGAAGGAAAGCAATGAACATTTAGTATTCACTTTTTTAACATATTATTATCCATTTTTTTAGGTTGTGCTATGTACAGGTAGTAGAGAAGTTCAAAGAGCTAGAGGTAAGTTATATCTCTAACCCTCTAAGATATTTACTAATATCTAAAAGAATGAGAACTACATGATCCTTCTAACATTTTACTGGTTGATGGCACTAAAGATTTTAAAAGATGAGCCTCTAATATTTAAACTTATTGTATTTTACTGATTTTGTTGGTTTTTATCTTGATTGTTTTTAGGTAGTGACTATCGTTATGCTAGTATTATTATTATTATTATCATTATTATTTAGATCATGTATTATTTAGTGCTTTTTCTTTGCAGATACAAATCGTAATTAAAATTTTAATGTAATGAGTAGATTAGGACAGTAACATCCAAAATAAGGAATTTGACTGGTGTAACAATAGCCACTGTCTAATTGTTATTAATTTCAGTATGTTTGTGAACAGTGTATATCATAGCTTCTGGTTTTGCTAATGAAAATAAGGACAGCTTGTACTTTTATATCTTACAGTGAGTAAGGAGGGACGTTGTCCTGATGTAAGTCAAAATATAGGCAGTGGTGTGTGCTCAAGCGATTGCAGTAATGATTTAGACTGTCATGATGACATGAAATGCTGTAGCAGTGACTGTGGCCAGTACACCTGTGCTCAACCTGTAGATGGTAAGTAGTTAGTTGGTGGGACCAGTTGTCACAGCAGTTCAATTTACGTCTCTGAACCTTACTGTAAGGTCGGAGGTTTGAACCTTTTGCTTTTGCAGTACTTCCCAGGGAGTGGAGGAGTTTACACTTTGTGCTGCTTTGATTGTGCGGCTTGTATTGTATATCCCTGGAAAAAGGCGTGTTATATATCGATCGCTATATTATTAAATAATGTTATTGTTTGATATTGTTATTATTTCACCAAGGTTAAACACCCGGGGCATGTACTTCATAATTTACTACCTGATAAAACAAGTATAAATTATAACCTTTGAGCTCCTAGAGAGTTCAAGTTGCCCAAAGTCAGAACAAAGCTGTCCCAAGACTTCATTTCAAATCATGGGGTATTTGCCAAGTGGTGGTGTCTCCCTCCCTGAGTAATCCCCCCTAGCGTGTCCCCCACCCCCACCCTGAATAAGAAAAACAAATCCTGTAGGCTTTATTCAGTATTGTACTCTATATAATTGCTCATTTGTGTGTCTCCCTTATTTATACCCTTTTCAATTGTTTTTTTTTAATAATAATAATTATTATTATTAAATTATTATTATTATTATTATTACAGTACTATTATTATTATTATTATTATTATTATTATTATTATTGTTATTGTTGTTGATGCAAGAACAATTTGTATCTCCTCCTAAAATTTGAAATTAAAAGCTAATACAGTAACTTATATTTGTACTTGAAGTAAACAAGTATAACATATATTTTTTTTTTTAGCTTAACTGAGACAATAATATCCTTAAATGAAATTGATACACTTTAAATGCAGATTGTTTTAGTTATTCCATTCTGCTTTTGAATTATCATTTTTTTTCGGTTTTGTTTTGTAGAGGTTGTGTGTGAAATTCCTTGCCCAAGAATATATCAACCTGTTTGTGGTACTGATGGTGAAACTTACAGCAGTGAGTGCATCTTGAATTTTACTACGTGCACCCGTAATCAACAGTTTGTTCAGATGCTTCACGATGGTCCCTGCACAGAAAACGATTTAAACAATCGTGAAAACCAAGCTTCAGGTAAGTACTGTATATAACCAAATGAAATTATACAATGGTAAAGTTACAAATTGATTACATAATTGAAGAGTAGATGTTTTTGACCAACATTTTAAGTTAAGCACACACTTTGTGCCCATCCTTAAGTAAAACTTTTTAACACCAAGATACATTACAGAACCACCAAAATACATTACAAAAAACTAAGGTACATTACCGAACCAGAACCACCAAGATGTATTACAGAACTAGAACTCCCATGATAAAACCAGAACCACCAAGATACATTACAGAATCAGAGTCACCAAGATACAATTACAGAACCAGAACCGTGAGGATACATTACAGAACCAGAATCACCAAAATGCATAGAACCAGAACCAAAGCTAGAGTACAGAACCAGAACCACCAAGATAATTAGCGAGCCAGAACCACCAAGATACATTAGAGAACCAGAGCCATCAAGATGTATAGCAGAACCACCAATATACATTACAGAACCAGAACCACCAAGCTGCAGTACAGAACCAGAACCACCAAGCTGCAGTACAGAACCAGAACCACCAAGATACATTACAGAACCAGAACTGCCAGTGTACATTGCAGAACCACCAAGATACATAACAGAACTGGAACCACCATGTACATTTACAGGGACCAGAACCACCAGGATACATTAGATAACCAGAACCACCAGGATACATTAGATAACCAGAACCACCAAGGTACATTACAGAACCAGAACCACCAGGATACATTACAAAACCAGAACTACCAAGATACAATAATAAATTTTCACTACATAATGTTTTACTTGAAATTCCAAAGTCTGGCAGTCATGTAAGAATTATTCAGTACTTCTATTTTATAATATTAATACTGTACAATATGCATCATCTCAGAAAAGTTGTTATCAGTAAGGTTGTAATTAATACTGCATTAATAGAAAATTTTACTATACACCTTTTTAAAGACATATACTTGTTTAATAGGTGTCCCTCCAATGAAAGACCACTTTTTGGACCAGTGTTTCCATTGTGTTAATAGCAGCTTCAATCTATTAGAATAATGTAGATAAAATACATTTGTTGATTTGGCACCATAAAAATATGGTCTTTAATTGGAGAGGTATTTAATTAGAGAGAAACCTGTACATATTTTCAGTTTGTTTGAATAAATATTATGTCAATCATTTTTAGCAATGCCAACCATGATGGTGACAATAGTAACACATAGTGTGTTAACTTATTTTGAAAATCCTAATCGGACAAGTATAAAATTTTACTTCAGCAGGCCCATGTGCAATTGAACTGGAAAAAGTGATGGGATCCCGAAAAATGCCGTTGATTGGAGCGAAGATCCCACAATGTGACAACGAAGGCTATTACAAAGCTAAGCAGTGCTGGGGATCAGTTGGTAAGGACATATACACCCTCGTTTTTTATTCACTTTAAAGGCCATGTGCTTTTAACCTTACGTGTAGTGTGTCGAATTGAAGCCCAATTGGCTTAATATCGAGAAGGAGCCCATCTCGAATTGAAGCCCCCTCTATAGTTTGCCCATGGGCTTCTTTTTTAAAGATAGCATTGGCTTGTTTTTCGAGATAGTACATTAGATACACTGTACATGAATGTCAAGGAAACAAAAAAAAAAAAAAAAGAAGAAGAAATATGCTTTGCCTATACAGTAGATTTTACTGTATGCTGGTATTACACAGATTTATGTTACAGTTGCCCTATTTATTGTTTTTTAGTATTAATTTCCAAAATTACAGCATTCATTTTGAAAAGAGCCCCCCCCCCCTCTTTTACTTTGCAAAAGTGGCCTCAAAAAAGCCCATCCAAAATTCACAAAAAAAAAAAAAAAAAATCAAAGGTTTTGCGATATGAGAGATCTGTCTATGAATTGATAGCATGTGCTCTGAACTACAAAGAGTTTTTAATGCAGACTTTGTATTTATAATCAGATTTTTAAGTTGATTTTCTCAACACCAGATTTTTAATCTTTAATTTTGAAACATCTCAAGATCTGTGTATCGCTTGAAAGTTTTTCAACAACACATGTTTGGCATTATAATTCACATTTAGTACATTGTATAGCTGCCAACCAGTGAGGTGTACAGTAGCTGGCTTGTCCATGCCACCTCAGCCCCACTATGGGGCTGAGGTGAAAGAAATGTTTTTATTTTTAGCACCATTTGTAAAAACACTGTGAGACTTAAAACAATGTCTTTCATTTGAGAATAGAAAGATGTATTTAATTTTAAATACAATAAATATTTGCTTAATTGCAAAATTGGGCCACCATAAATAGCAATAGTCAAAATCGTGACGTGGTATGTTCTGTTTTAATTTGAATATGGCTAAAAAGCACAATATTTTACGAAGCTTAAGATTTAAAGAGGCTTGCGTAAGAGATATTGGGTCTGTGCAATGCAAGAAAATCTGTTTTTCATTTTACAACCAACTGCAACATTTGTGGTATTAGATATCATATCTAATAATGTGGAAATACTACAAAAGGATAAGCAAAAACAACAACAACAAAAAAAAACCAAAAGCAGTACAGCCTTTTTTGGATCTAAATTATTGATTTTTTTTACATAATATGCACATTAAAAGAAGAAGACATATTTTATTTACCTTTCTCTTTTTGTCTTGCTGATACATTATATTCTCTACTATTTATATTTCATTAAAACAAACACCATGAACAACACAGTCAGTAAGTAATATATTGGTTTCCGTAGGTATGTGTTGGTGCTCTGATCGCAATGGGAATGAGATGTCCAAACCCAAACGAGGAAAACTCACAATGGATTACTGCCTACTCATGAGAGGTACCCTGAAACCAAGCCCCTAGAAAATGGACAGTATTGTACTTGTTTACTGTATGAACAACAGTCTCAGGATAAACATTCTAGGTTGATGTTGCCATTGAAGAGAGGCTATATCCTGGTAATCCGATAGCCTAAAGCTGTAGAGTTTCATTATGATAAGACTGCTAGGGTGTTAACTCCAATGTGTGTAATGTTTCAAAACTTGCAGTTTTGTATCGGTACTCTCCTAGTAGGCTGACAGAAATTCAGCCAACCACAGCCCACCTAGATATCATTTTCAATGATCATCCTTGTATGAAAGTCTTGAATGCAGCTAGGCTGCGCATATGTTATGCTTAAGACCTGCTGTGTGACTGTGTGGAATCGCCTTTTTACGCTGTTCATTAATAATTGTTTTTTAGTTCATAATTTCTTTATTATATGATTCTATTTTTGTTTTTCATGTATTTTTATGGATATTATAATTGTTTTTTTACTTTGTAATTTTAACAGTTCTTATTATGGCGAAGAGAAAAAGTTTTCTATTTACTTACAATAAGTCCAATCATCATCATCATCATAATAATCATCATCATTATCATCATCATTATTACTATTATGTATTTTTAATTACTAGTCCTGTAGGTGGCGGTCTTTCTTTAGCGGCCATCTTGTAGAGTACCGATCCACAAATCTGCAATGCTTCATTGCATAGTTTGCAGGCCCGTTTTAATAACTTTATGCCTGGCTAGAACTTATTCTCCAAGAAGAAGATATTTATATAATCCATTATAAGCATACATTAGCTCCATTTTTAGCATGATTGTTGCATGTATAAACGGTGATTGTATATTTTTCAAAGTGTGCATGCAATAAGTAATTACTTTTTAATCAATAAATAATAAAATATTATTTAACTTTATTATTTTTTTTGTATTATTGTTTTAATTAATAAGATTAAGATATATTTAATAAATTTATTATTAATCATATTTCCATAAATCGCAAATTACTGTGCAAAGTTAAACTGCAGAAAAAACACAGATATAAATAATTACCTACATCATTGATACACATTTTATTTTGTTTGGGTGATGATTTGAAATTCCTAAGTGAAGTATTTTATGCAGTGAAATTGAATAGTTTGGGAGACCTATTTTGGAATCCCATTCCACAATTAATTCACCACTAAATAGTTCTTTATGTATGGGAATATGGAGTAAATTTTGCTTAAATTAACAATAATACTATTAAAGTACATATATATAATTAAAAAAAAAAAAGAAGATATGTAGAGGATAACAAATAGACATTGTTGTGATGATGGGGACAACAACTGTTGATCGTGCAATAAGAGGTAGCCCCATTCTAAGCGACTTACAGTATAGTAATTCTTTACCAAAGTTCACTCATTATTCACAGATAATTAATAAGTTCTGAAAAGTTAATAAAGTATTTTGTATTAGAAAAATGAGTTTTGTCATTTTCCCCAATACATTCACAATTGGAAAACAATTCTATTACATATATAGGTGTAGTTTTGCCCTATCTCACGTGGAAATGTACAGAATACTCAGTACGTGTGAAAACAATTTCGAAAAAAAATCGCAGGTTGTTTCTCGGGTGGTGCTGGAACCCACAATCTCCAAATCACTAGCCTGGCATCGTACCTCTAGACCATCGAGCTTTCGCCTGACGGCCTGGTTGAATTCAAGTAAGCAGCGGGTACTGCAATGTTGATAATAATTGTTATTGTCGTGATGGAATAGACAGTAACTGAGTTTGCATCAGGAGAATCAAGTATAGGTGTAATTTATTTTTTTCGCAATTTTTTTCACACGTACAGTACTGAGTATTTAGTATACAGTACTGAGTATTCAGTACATTTCCACGTCAGTTAGGGAAAAAATACACCTATACTTGATCCTCCTGAAGCAAAATCAGTTATTGTCTATTCAATCACGACAATAACAATTACTATCAATCCTATTACAATATCATAAATTTGTCAAGTCAGTAGAACATTTATTCATTCATTCATTTATTCGATCAATAATCAACAAACTGTACCGAACAAAATTCAAGTAGGAACAAGAACAAAAATTGATTTGAAAGAATCACGACAATAACAATTACTATCAATCCTATTACAATACAGTGGTGGCGCCAGGACCTGCCCGACGGAGGAGCTAAAGGCCCCGACGGGGGGGGGGGCTAGTGGAGCCAATCGAGTCACACTTGGGTGGGGTCAGGGGCCGCCTAGGGCCCCTAGTGGGGGTCCAGGTGGCGAAGTACCCCGGAAGACACCATTTGATGAATTATGGCGAATTTTTATTACTTATTTGATAGGCATCGAGTTACTATAATATGACTTCATGTAGTCTATGCTTTCTAATGTTAAAATCAGCTTCCAAAACCAAAACATTTTGAATGAAACAATAAACAAAGAGTATGCAATGTAACCGTCTAATTAAGTGAAATTCTATATTTTGGAAATTTAGCATGAAATTTGTCGACCACGCTTTCATGGTCGAGGTTGCTTCACCTATCACGACGTATTCCAACCATCATGAGGCTATCTAAATGAGCATTTGTTATAACAGAACGCAAATTAGTTTTAATTAGTCTCATTGAATAAATATTATTATTATTATTACTATTATTGTTATTGTTGTTGTGATGAAAAGTTAACACAAACAATATGGTGGCTAAACGAATATTACATGTAAATATTTTTTTTTATTTGTTTGTTCCCCGACAAAACTTATCGTCTTCCCCGACGGGGCGTGGGGGCTATTATTGATATTTGCAAGCTTATATGAACAAGTACCAATCAAAACATTACCTCTAATAGGTGACAGCTATTAATAAACTAAAGATCAAAGCATTCTTACCCTACTAAGATAATTACAATTAAAAATTTACAATATATTTGATCGTCTTTTCCCTTTGACTTAGGCCTATTTTTAGCAAAAGCAGGAGTGCGGATCCAGAGATGTCCAGAAAGGGGAGGGGGAAGGGGAATGAATTTGCTTATGTACTTCTGCAGCAATCTTGTCAATGAAATGTAAAATTGCGTGTGACGTGGTGTAATTTTCAATGAATCCGAATTGAAAATATGAGAAAAAAGGGTTTTAAGTTACGGTAACTTGTTCTTGAGTTTTTCCAGAATTTAGAAAACGTTGTCAATAGTGATATTGGTCTATAATTAGACATATTTTGAGGGCTACCTTTCTTTAACAGATGAATTACTTTTTAATGTTATTAGGAAAACTCCATTTAATTGAAAGATTGTATAT